GGACGGAGTAAGGGGCGGCGGGGTAGGGATAAGGGGTGGGTTTCCGAGGAGGGGAGGTGTGTGGGCTTGGTGGACACATTAGGGATTAGAAGGAATCGACATTCAGTTTCTATGTCAAAAGATTTGCAATGATTTTACTAATGTGTAATTAATATAATTTATAATATATTAAAAAGTTAATTAATATAAAACTTCTCTCATGGCTTGAGTGGTAGGATGCACACTCCATGAGAACAATTTCCCATGTTCAAGGTCGAACGGAGGTGGAGACATTGGAAAACTTTCTAGATAAAAGTAAAAACACCGATAGTATTAAAATAGGAGTCATGTGTCTATTAAGATTTAAGACCAAAATAGTGATTTACAATGATAATGTTACATTATAACATGCACTACATCGTCACATTGCAAATGTGACACCATAATCCGTCACTACCAGCCACTAGAGCCCAACCACTGTTTGTTGTTGTTGATCGGTAGTCTGATCGGTAATCCATAACAGTTGATTGAACACACTACCATATTAAAATGTCATCACTTTTCAACCGCACTCTTACATCACACTGACATTATACTACTGGTTTCATACGAGTAAAATAATCTAATCATGCCACATTTCTTGTGAATCAAGTTTAATTGAAAATAAAGTTAATCAAGTTTCGCAATGTGTGATAGGTGGAAGAGTGTGATAGGTGGAAGAGACCTAGAGCCTATTCTTTAGAATTAACTTTCTGTTTCTTTAAACTTTTTTTTAATCCTTACAGTTTCTTCTATTTTTTCTTATCGTTTTAGTTTTTTTCTAGTTTTCTCAATTATTCTTATTTTTTTTCAATCTTTGTGTACATCCCATATAATGACTTTAAAAATTTTATATTTTTAATGTATTATTATAATTATTCTGTTGTTTATAATTTTTCTTATTTTTTCTATTTTTATTGTTCTCATGTCACTATTATTGTGATTCGCACTCATTAATATTTTTTATTCTATTTTTAATATAAATAATATGGAGTACAATTTTATTGAAGAAATTTTTTTTTAATTGCATGAGACTTTACTATATTTCAATTTTTTTTTATATTTTATCAATCTAAATTGGTTATGGTAAAAATATTAATATTTTAAATAAATAATAATAATTACACTACTTCGAAAGCCCTTAGTTAAGTGACATGTACATCATTTACATGGTTGAATTTTGCTCATTTTCTTTATCTATTATGAATTCAACAATAATAATGATGACAAATTTGAGAACAACAATAATAAGAATAATAATTATAACAAGAATACTACGTAAAATACACTTCAATCAATTTTTGAAGTGATTCAAAGTTTTTCTAAGTTTCTTCTAGTTTTTTTTAGTTTTTTCATGTTTTTAAATTTTTTTAAGTTTAATCTAATATCCAACTTTTTTTGTTCCAATCCTAAATAACAAACTTTTAACAATGATAGATGAAAAAAAGAATAAAAGACTATAAGAGCAACGATAATGGCGTGGGGATAGTAGTATAGTGCGTTAGTGCCCCATGGAGAGCCTTGACGGTGGCACTCCAAGTTTTTTTTTTCAATTTTTTTTATGAAAACAACTTTTTTTTGTGCAAGAATGTATAATTTTTTTTGTTAAAATTACTACAAAAACATATTTTTTAGTAATTAAAAGACATCAAAGTTATGTAAAAAATGACAAAAGTAATAACTTATCACACTATAGAGCTTGCTACTTTACTCACGTTCTATTTGGTCACTAGACCATTTTTCACTGATTAAAAATTGTCATGTGTTCATGGTTCATGCTGAGAGAATATTAGTATATTACTCCTTAGATTTTAATTTCAAACTTATACCCAAAAGTCCAATTCATTTATCACGCGGACCTTTTAATTTGGCCCAAGCACACATTAGTCTGTGTGTGTGGTTGTGGTGGACAGGAGGGAGGAGGAGGAGGAGCCAAGGCCTGGAGAAAATTTGCAGACCGTTTGTCCTGCAACTAGTTTTCAATATGAGACCAGAAAATGACAGCGAAAGCAGGAGTATGAGCCGGAGCCGGAGCCGTAGCAGGAGCCGCAGCCGTGGCCGGAGCAGAAGCCGTAGCCGGAGCAGAAGTCCGGTGGATCACAAGATCCGTTCAGAGCGGATTTCCCACCGCGATGCACCATATAGGCGGGATGCACGCCGGGGTTTCAGGTGATCTGGTCTCTATCATCATCGTTTTTAGCTTTTTCCTTGCACTGCTCTCTTGAGCAAATGCTTGCTGGTGGGAGGTGTCAGTGAAACCCTATTTGTTTTGCAATTAGGGGATGGTGAATGTATTGATTTGGTTGTTTCTTTCATCTCAACACATATATAAGGTACCATCCTTTCAAATTGTCAATCCTAAATGTATTTGTACATTCATCTATTTTTAAACTAAACTCGACATACTCTGTATTTAGCTAGCTCGGAAAACTTCATTTGGAAGATTACATCAACCTCATTGGAAATGAATGTAGTTTCATTTGTTGAAATAAGACTTGATTCCGAGAGAAAAATGGGCTTTGAAGCCATGCTCATTTTCAGGGACGGGGAAGTAATAGTAAAATGTGAGAAGTGGCATAGGTAAACCTAGAAAAAGTTGGAAGGAGTTGATTACATGACTTATGAATTCAGGATCTTAAAGAGGATATGACATTAGATAGGAACACATGAATGTCTATGATTGGAGTAGTTAGGTAGAACTATGGTCCTTACTCCTTAGTTTACAACCCTTAGTTTGACTTAGGGGCTGTTTGTTTCAGCCTCTTAATGGTTCAGATGTCTGAATGGTTCAGCACTTAATGGTTCAGACTGTTTGTTTCAGCCTCTTAATGGTCCAGATGTCTGAATAGTTAAGAGATTTGCCTCTGAATGGTTAAGTATTATACAAAGTCTGAATGGTTAAGACCTCTTATCTGAATTGATCAGACATTTACCTCTGAATAGTTAAGCAATATACTAGCTCTTAATGGTTCAGACTTCTTACTGGTTCAGCACTTAATGGTTCAGACTTCTTACTGGTTCAACACTTATCTATTCAGAAGTTACCAAACAGCCCCTTAGCCTGTATCTTGTGCATGTGTGCTCTTTGTGCTATGGGTATGAGGTTCTAGTGTTGGCATGGCTGCTTCTTGTGTATGTGTTCTTACTTGGTTCGTGTTACTATGCTTATTTTTCTGCGTGTACTTCCATGTTTGAGTTGGGTTTCTTGGAAACAGTCTCTCTACTACCAAGTAGGTGTAAGATCTACGTAGACGCACGCTTCCCAGTTCCTAATTCTTGGGGGATTCTGGGTATGTTGTTGTTGTTGCAATCTTAGCAATGTATTTGCTAAACCTTCGCCATTAATCCGATTGCACTGAAGGATAATTGAGATCTTATTCATATAGCTGTATTTAAAGGCTGTATGACTTTTTTTTATCAGCATTTGGTGTGTAGATCATCATATAAATACCATTTATTTGGGTCTATAGTTTCAAGGATCTAGGAAGTAGCAACTAAGGGTGCATCTGATTGAGATTTTGACCTTGGCTGAGTTTTGTTTACTCAGAATCAGCTGCACTTTTTTTTTGTTGTTGCTAATTTTAGAGAATCAAGAAGTTCACCAAATGATTTTGTCATAAAATCAAATGAACACATCACCATCTGATTCTAGTTTAGTTGAGATTCGGAATCAGTAAAATCAACCCTTAAAGTCAAAACAAAAATTACCCTAAGGAAACAGAGTACATGTTTGTATTCACTGGAAAGCTGTAATTATTAATAATAACAATGTCCTCTCATTTCTTAAATTCCTTCTATGCCGACGGTAAGGACAGATTCTTTTATTCTATCATCTGCATTTATTCTCTGCAAGGGTTCTTTTATTCTTTTCGCAAAGGATCTGAATATTTCCAACATTATAAACATATGGCCTTCTTTAACGTCCATATAGTAATTGTCAAAGGCTAATACCGAATGAGATGTCTTTACTGTTTTTATCGTCTTTAACATTCATATACCTAAAGCACTATACTGTTTTGTTTTCTCTGCAGCCAAAGCAATCTGTGCAAGAATTGTAAAAGGCCTGGTCATTTTGCGAGAGAGTGCCCTAACGAGGCATTATGTCACAATTGTTCTCTTCCTGGGTATGTATGTACAGCAGCACTATTATTAAGATTTACACTCCCTCTATTCCTATGTAATGCTCTTCATTGATCACATCACACCATTTAAGAAAATGTATCGGGGCATTAAATCAATCAAAATTGACCCATGGACCTCATTTAATATGAAGTAATCACTTGCAACCCATTTAACAAAATCAAAGTTTTACCTAAAATGACCTCCTTTAATACGAAGTAATCAGTAATCACTTGCAACTCATTAAATATCAATGGTGTAAGTAGGGGAAAGTTTGGGAAAAAAATATTTATTGTGCATAGATTTCATAACACCGGTGCTCAGTGGTCACATGGGTTTAAACTATAAACTATCACAACGGAACTATTTCTGAACATTTGAATGTCATTGTATTTCTTTATAGAAATTTACATATAAAATTTTCAACCCGCAGGCACATTGCATCAGAGTGCAGTACAAAAGGTCTGTGTTGGAACTGTAAGGAACCAGGGCACATGGCTGGCAATTGTCCAAATGAAGGAATTTGCCACACTTGTGGGAAGAAGGGACACCTTGCAAAAGACTGCACTGCCCCTTCCCTCCCCCCGGGTGATATGAGACTCTGCCACAATTGCTTCAAGCAAGGTCACATAGCAGCTGAATGTACGAATGAGAAGGCGTGCAAGAACTGTAGGAAGACTGGCCACCTGGCACGTGACTGCAAGAATGATCCAGTCTGCAACACGTGTAACGTGTCCGGGCACGTTGCCCGAGATTGCCCGAAACCCGCAATCATCGATGAACGGGCCCCGCGGTCTCGTGCTCCTTTTGGGTACAGAGATCCTGTGCTAAGGGACATGGTGTGTAGGAACTGCTCACAGTATGGACATACGAGTCAGGATTGTATTGCGATGATAGTATGTCAGAACTGTGGTGGGAGAGGGCATATGGCGTATGAATGCCCCTCTGGAAGATTCATGGACCGTTTCCCTCGGAGGTATTGAATGTGAACTAAACATGAAAAAATGATTAGCTGCTTGCTGTTCTCACCGCAGCGTCAGCCAAGTAAGTTGTACTTTGTCTCTCGTGGAGATATATTACTCATTTTAATCCAAAAACAACCCATGGTTTGATTTTTTTTAGAGTATTTGACAAATTTCCTACGAAAGATGCAACTCTGTATTTCTACACTCAAGGAATTATTTGGGTAAAAGATGATTTTGTGTTTATCATATACCCTTTTGGACAATTCTTTTGATCATGTGATTGTGTTTGGATGGATCATTTCAAGTGTGTTTGCTATGATGAGAGGCTCCTTTGTTTGCAAGAAGATGAATGAAGGGCACATTTTTATATGCAGTACTATTGCTTGCTAATGAAATAAACAATACATAGAATTTTTTTCTTTTGCTCATATGATTGGAATGAAGACTGATGAGACTCATCATAGTTTTGAGAGTGTGTGGAGGGGGGTAGAGGAGGGAAAATGTTTGGTTTCCCTCCTCGGATTCCTTTAAACGAGCCTTATAGATTTTCATAAAAACTAAGCCAAATAAGATAACATTGAACTACTTTTTTGTAAGCTCATCTTTCAAATGTTGGATTCATTATCGGACTTAGTTTTAGATGGTCTCAAGCAAATCGAGACATTTTCAAATGATGTCACACAAATATATATTTTTTACGGAGTAATTTTTTACACTAATAATATTACGTACGACAAATAGACTCTAATAGAATTTAAAATGTATTGGGTTTGTTGTTGAAAGAAGTTTTGAAGCAAGTGAAAGGATGGAATCATTTGCTTATTAAGACTTGTGATCTCATCTTGAATAGAGAGAGCAAAGAATAAAAAGAAAATGTGCACACATGTGGCCCGCAAGCAAAATGCATTTGAATGAATTGTGCCCCCTTTTTCTTCTTCTTTTTGTTATAGTCATACATAATTAATTACTCCGTGGATAGAATAAAGGAGTAATTATACACTAGGCTAGTTGCCAGTTGACAATGGGTCGAATGCATTGATTGTTGTTTGTAAAAAGATATACCCATTTGTCTAAAAATTCTCTACACGTTTACTATTTACACAATCAAGTTTTATTCACTTTATTAACATATTTTTGTCTATTTGATAAAATAATATAGTTATATCGACTTTAGTTTTATAGATTTTTTGATGTACGAGTAGCTTTTTAACATTTGATTTTTTTTAAAATTCCAAGCTGTTATCCATATACGGAATAAAATTATTTAAAAATAATTTTAGTCAAACATCGTAACGCGCAATAAGAAGATAATTTTTTACGGAAGGAGTAATTATTAGTCTTTTGTTTTGACTTAAAAGACCAAGCACAGATTTAAAAAACTTTAAACAATTCGAGTCACATAAGTTTTATCCTCAAATGCATGAAAATAGAAAGAGAATATCTGATGATCTAAACTGAGAGCTGAATACATATTAGGTGAAGCCGTTTTTTGCCACAACTAATTTCTTCACTAACCTTTTCCGAATACAACGTGTTTTGCAGGCCGAACACAACTCGATCACGATTTTATCAAAGTTAAATTTAATAAAAACATCAAACTTATGATGATACTCCGTAAAAAAGATTTTACATTTCAACACATCACGTCCATATGTAGGCACAATTTCGTTTAATTTTATTTGAGTTTTGCATTAAACATTAATTCCTTAAAATTTAGCGATTTCTAAATCAACAAAACTCAACTTTGATAACATGAAGGGTCGTGCACGGTTATATACGAGTGTCACGTGGCACGTGGCCAATCGAAATAGACAAAACATTTGACAAAATTACCAAAAAAAATCGTCAGCCAACGGTTAGCCGGTTCACACCGGCGCACGAAATCAGACGTTGACGCACTGCCAAGCCCGACCACATTCGTGTCAGTTACCGTTTTTTTGTTCTTTCATCGTCCCCAGAGAGAGAGAGAGAGTTCTTTTTTCTTCTATTTTTGTTTTTGGTTATTTTGAAGAACCTCTCTGAAACAATTTATGGAGGAGTTTAGTTAATTAGATGCTCTCATTGCCCACTGCAATGTACAGTAAGTTGCTTTTTGTCTTTTAATTTCTTCAATTTCAAATTTTTTCCCCTTTTTAACTTAATTAGTACATTTTTTAAGCTTTATACCCGGCTTTAGTACAGCTTTACCCAACTTCCATGGGCGCGATTGTTCAAAGTTTCAAGCTTGAAGTTCACACTAACTTGACTTCACCTTTTTTCTGCCAAAAGAAAAGTATATATATATATATTTCCCCCACAAGAAATTCCTAATTTGAGTTTTGAAAATTGGCGAACTGCTTCTCAGTCAATGGATCTGACATAGTTTAATGTGCAGTGTTGAAGAACAGATTGTGGCAGTTTCTAAGCTCATCATCAGCTAGCTTTTCTTGAAGGTGAAAAAAACCCATCTTGATCTTTTATTTCGGTTTATGGGATCTGGGACCCACCTATATCTGGGCCCCACTTTTCCAAATATATTCATGGGTTTGTTGTTGTAGCAGTTACACAGGGCGGGGGTGGGGTGGGGTTGGGGTTGGGGGGATGATGGGGGCCATTGGTGGAGAAGAGTTGATGAAGTGGGAGAATATGGAAGGGGGTGGAAATGGAGGAGGAGAGGAGAAGATCTTGGTGCTGGTTAGGTTGAGGCCATTGAGTGAGAAAGAGATTTCAAGAAACGAAGTTTCGGATTGGGAATGCATCAACGAGACCACGATTTTGTATAGGAACAGCATCCAGGAGAGATCTGGCCTCCCAACTGCTTATTCTTTTGGTAAGAAATGAACTTTAATTCAGTGCTATTTATTGTACGTGTTTAGAATATTAAAATCTTTCATGGGCTTGAAACCATATGCTTGAACCTGTGGTTTAGTTTGTTAATTGGCATAGTATTTCAGCATTGTTGATTTAGAGGTATTCTCATATCTCAACATCGTGACTGTCATTTTTGAGCAGTTTTACATCCTATGAATCCTTTATTATCTGATGTTTCCCTTTTGCTATGGTTTGTTTTTGTGACGTAGATGGAGTATTCAGGGGCGACTGCTCTACTAGAGAAGTGTATGAGGCAGGAACAAAGGAGATTGCACTTTCTGTTGTCGGTGGTGTCAATTGTGAGTTCTCCTTTAAACTTTGCCCGCCTTCACCCACTCCAAATGATTACGTACTTCCAAATATGCCCTTTGATGATTTTTTTTTGGTTCATTTCAATCCAGCAACTATTTTTGCATATGGACAAACCAGCAGTGGAAAGACGTACACCATGAATGGAATCACGGAGTATGCTGTGGCAGATATATATGATTACATTCAAAAGGCAAGTTAGAGTTCATTGTTGAGATATAAATGTCAAGTCCAATTATCATCTTAAGGCTCTTAAGTGAGGGAACAATTCAACCAATAGTTCAAGCTTGTGGTTGAAGGCCCAAGATTGTGTTTATAGCGATAATGATGATGATGATGTTTTCTTCACCAGCATGAAGAAAGAGCATTTGTTTTGAAGTTTTCTGCAATCGAAATTTACAATGAAGTTGTTCGAGACCTCCTTAGCTCAGACAATTCTCCCCTAAGATTGCTTGATGATCCAGAGGTGTGAAAGACTAGCTCTACCCATCTTTGCTTCATTCTTCTCATTTGTGATAATATTTGATCCCATGTATTCCTCTTCTGATGATGATTTCTGGTTTGCTAGAAAGGGACTATCGTTGAGAAAATCACGGAAGAAACTCTGAGGGATTGGAGTCATCTCAAGGAGCTCTTATCCATCTGTGAAGGTACATGGTATATAAATAAGGAAAATGCAATTTCAATACCAAGGTTTGACATCATTGATGACACCACTGTGTCAGACATGCACAAACAACGGTACATGTCTGTGATGTCATTAATGGTGTCAAACCTGGGTTCACGGTAGCACGACCCACTAAAGAAAAGCCTTATTCTACTGCTTGCTATTTCACATTCTAGCCTAAACATACTCTTATTGGTTCTTGCAGCTCAAAGGCAAATTGGGGAGACTCACCTGAATGAGACAAGCTCCAGATCTCATCAAATTCTCAGATTGGTATGAATGTGCTTTGTATTTCTACATCAACAATTCTTATTTACTTGAATCATGATGTTCTATTTGAACTAATTAATGAATTGTTATTGTGGGTCTTGGTTGGCTGTTCCTCAGACAATTGAAAGCTCCGCTCGTGAGTTCATAGGAAAGGACAAGAAAGCAACTCTATCTGCTAGTGTGGTATGTGAATATTGGCTTGCTACAGATAACTTTTTTTAGTCCCTGATAAAGCTATGGAAAGCTTCATAGTATTGCTAACTTGTAAATGAGCCAAAGGTATGGAAAGCTTATGTGAATAACTTATTAACTTATAAATGCAGAACTTTGTTGATCTTGCTGGAAGCGAGCGGGCATCTCAGGCATTGTCTGTTGGCCAAAGGCTAAAGGAAGGCTGTCACATTAACCGTAGTTTACTAACTCTTGGAACTGTCATTCGCAAGTTAAGGTTGTTCCTCTTCTCTTTACCCATCACCACCTTCATCTAAACTATGTTGAGTTGAAAGATCATAGGAGAGGATATAATCATAGGAGTTGAGACAAAATTCCCCTCGACGAGATTATTTATTTATTTATTTGGGTTTTTCTTTAAACAGTAGGGGGAGACAGGGACACATAAACTATAGAGATTCAAAGCTGACACGTATTCTGCAGCCTGCATTGGGTGGAAATGCTAGAACTGCTATAATATGCAACTTGAGCCCAGCAAGGTGTCATGTTGAACAATCGCGGAACACTCTCTTGTTTGCTTGTTGTGCTAAGGAAGTGACCACTAATGCAAAAGTCAATGTCATGATGTCTGACAAGGCCTTGGTGAAGCACCTACAAAGAGAGGTTGCTAGATTAGAGACTGAGCTGCGAACTCCTCCCGGAACATGTTGTGATCATCTGGCTTTGTTGAGGAAGAAAGATATGCAGATTGAAAAGGTCCGTTTCCGTGCTTTTTTCATTTTTATGGTCCTTTTGGAACTCGGAAAACGCAAATCAAATGTCATTTTCAGTCTGTTTTGGGTTCATAGATTGATCATCGATATCATAGTCTGTGTCATTTCTACTGCAGCTGGATAAAGAGATTAAAGAATTAAAAAAACAACGCGATTTGGCTCAATCACGGGTTAAGGACTTGCTGCAGATGAATGAAAGTGATCAAGATTCAAGCAAAACGGTTTGTTTTATACTTGTTTTTTTTTGTTTTTGAAAAATAGCTCAAGTATTTGATTTATTCTTTTAATTCTCTGTGTTACAGCTGGAATGCAGTTCTTCTAAACCCATTGAAGACTCCACGTGTGAGGATGAATGTTCAGAAAATGGAGTCAACTCTGCAACATCTCATCACCAACAGAGAAATGAACTTACAATTGGAGAAAAAGGTGAACCCGGCGAGGACTTTAAGGATTTCCACTGTATTGAAACAGACAAATCACCCAACAATGAGAAGAGTCCAATAGTACCAGTGTCCGGTGATGATGGACAATGTACTAATGATCCTGTAGTAGCATCACCGACCTCACATAACAAAGCAAGTCTTGTAAGAAACTCTGACAAGTTTGCCCTCTCAAGCAGCAGCAGCAGTAGTGTGCAGGATTCCAGAAGAGTGAAGATGAGTGGAAGCAGAAGCTGCGAAACCAATGTTATATCAGATTTGTTTGGACAATGTGAGCCAGCCACCGGTGGCTGGTTGGAGAAAGACTCCATGGGAAGACCTGAAGGTTTTCAAAGGAAACAATGGAACCTTCATACTGTAAGTTCTGATGCAAGCAATGCTAAGCTATCAAGAAGCGATTCACCATCTTCCAATTCTACTGCTGTCATAATAGAAGATGTCACCAGTAGAAGCAGTGTCAATGTCGACGATGAGGGAATCCCCAGTGTCGACACTTTCGTTGCTGGGCTGAAGGAAATGGCTAAGCTTCACCAGGTGTGGATTACTTCATTTCCCCTTAAGGCTCACACTATGTTTGGTTCAAGGAATTTGAAAGAGACAAAAAGAAATGAGATGGAAAACACTTTTTATTATTTAGTTAGAGAGGAAAAGAAAATAAGAAGACAAAATCTACTAAGAAGAGGGAAAGCTCTCATTTTGACGAGGAAAATGAGAGAAAATCGTTTTTTTTTCTTTTCCTTCCAAATTTCTTGAACCAAACATAGTGTTAGTAACTGTCTGCTTAGATGGGTTAGAACCCAATCCCAATTTTTATGCTTTTGAAAATGAAAAGGTGTTGACACTACTATATACTATCACTTTTACTCCATACAAAGGTTGAAGAGGGAGAGGATAACCGGTCACCAAGGAATGTAAAGGAAGCATCGGATTGGGGTGTCGAGTACGAAAGGATGCAGAAAAGGATTATTGAGCTTTGGCAGACGTGCAATGTATCGCTCATCCACAGGACATATTTCTTCCTGCTGTTTAAAGGTGACCCGACCGACTCCATTTACATGGAAGTAGAGGTCAGAAGGCTCTCCTTCCTCGAGGAATCTTTCTCCAAAGGAAACATGGTCATCCAAGGTGGCAAAACACACTCCCTTTCGTCAAGGTACCATCCTTTCCCTTTTCCCTTTTCAAATGGATCATGCGAATATGAAACCACTAGTGTTTCACACAACAACAACAAAGCCTGATCCCACTAGGTGGGGTCGGCTACATGGATCAAATGACGCAATTGCCCCTCATATCTGATGTGAGACCGTTCACGCGAAGGTCCATATTTGACCAGTTCTTGCCAAGTCTTCTTAGGTCTACCTCTTCCTCTAGCCACATGTCTATTCACACACAATGGGTTTTTGTTTGTTTGGAATGGCAGCCTGAGAGAACTTTGCCAGGAGAGAGGGATGCTGCGTAGGCTTGTCCACAAAAGGTTAACCGGAGAAGAAAGAAACGAGACGTACCAGAAATGGGGGATTGCATTGGACTCCAAACAAAGGAGGCAAAATCTTGCCAGGCGAATTTGGAGCGAAACCGGCGTGAACCACGCGAGAGAGAGCGCGGCAGTCGTTGCCAAGCTCATTGGGTTCTCAGGGGAAGGAGAGGCTGCTTTGAGGGAGATGTGTGGGCTTAACTTCACCCCTCCTCTCATGTACCGCCGCCGGAGATCCTTTGGCTGGAGAAACACCGCCGCGTCTTCATTCAATCACAGGACTGTGTGATGGAAACATGCATAAGAGAGGTGAAATCTTCCCATTTTTTTTGGAAGATATGGGAGGGAGGGATAATATCATTAACTTTTAACTTTGTATGGCTAATGCTTCAATGTTTGAGCATTGTTTAGGTTGGTGTAGCTTAAAGTATAGTAGTAGACACTGTTTTTTTTCTTCTTCTCTCTTTTATGGTGTATTTAATGTGTAATAGAGAGAATTTCATTTTGTTGAACTAAATCATGATATGATATTGTATTTGGTTTGAGTGTTGTGGAAACAATTTCTTTAATATGCCTAATAGGACTTTGTAGCGTGTACCTAAACTCTATTTTTGGTGGTATTTTACTCGTCCTTTTATTACAATTGTTGAACTAATTCATGAGAAAATGTTTAGTTTTTTTTACTTTAACTATTTATGTATATTTTATTTTATTTTTGAAAACGAAAATTACGGAGTAGAATTTTAAACATGTTTATTTGCGAAAATTTTTCAAAATCATCGTTTGTATGCATACCAAGATTTTTACTTTGTGTACACTTTCTATCTCACATTTTATTTAAAATTATACTCTCTATTTGATTGAAACTATTCTTATTTCTGTTTGTCTAAAAATAAGTATAAATTTAAGAGTAAAACTTTAATTTTTTTACATTAAAATATTTTAGGATATTGTTACCATTTTATTTTATCAAATAATTATAAAAATATATGGAAAATGTAGAGTAATATACTCCATGGACTTAATGCTCAACATAAATTTACATATGAGCAAAATAAGTACTTCGTATTTTTTTACTATTTAAATATGTACTCCGTATCTCTTTTTTTAAATAAAAAAATTTAAAAAAAAATTATGAAAGAAAGAAAGGAAGGGGACACTATGTGTTGGGTGTGGCTCCCATTCTTCCACGAGGAGCTTCGCCGATTGCCACCGACCTCTGCTTTGGCAACTAAACTGGACGGAAGAAGGAGCCAAAGGATCAAAATCAATGGAGTTTTGCAGAGCAGCAGCTCCCATGTCTTGGACAACCTCCATTTCCCCTCCTCCTCGCATCTCCCAATCCTTCCCTGTGCGTTAGTTAACTAGATATGCAAATTGCACTTGAATTTCTTCAAATTACTTCATCTAAACTCCCATTTATGTTTCCATTTACCCGGCGCCAGTCGATTGTTTTTTTTTTCCTTCAGGGAAATGGGTTCAAGAAATTCAGAGTTTGGTGTCTGGGTTTTAATGGCGATACTGTTGCTTCTCACAAGGTAATTGTTCGCCCCTTAGTGTTTGTTATCTCCATTAATGAATCCTGAGAGAACTTGTTTCCTTTGAGTTAGGTTTAAATGGTTATTAATCCACGGGAATATGCAGAACTATGCATACATTGTAAAGAATAAAATTAAATAAAATTAAAATTAGATATTGATACAAAAAATAATTTTAATAGAGTTATCTTGTAAAATATTCTTGAAATATTGTTTAATCTAATTTTAATTAATTATAGGTCTAAGCAAATCTTATGATCAACAAATTTGGAATGGACTATCACTTATTTGAATATTTAAACCAAAGCTAATTATTTTATCTGGTCCCAATACGATCTTTCACTTATTCTTGTTTGAATCCTTATATTGGCACTATTCTAAGTAATCCCTTCACATTTGGGTACATTGTGATAAGATACACTCTTCTTAATATTGTTCAGGCAAGCTGCAAGATGATTATATCAGTGACTGGGGCTACTGGGTTTATTGGTAAAAGATTGGTGCAAAGATTGCATGAGGGTGGGGATGATTGATAGTTTCATTTCAAAATGTTTTGTTTGTGGAAAATAGTAGCTTGTATTTCACAAATTTACTGATGAGATAAATATGTTGTTTGGCCTGCTCTTCAAGTGTAGATAACCATCAAATTCGTGTGCTGACCAGGTCTAGATCAAAAGCTCAATCAATTTTCCCTGGTAAGAAGGTAATAATTATTTTAAACTGCTACCTAATTTCACCTCCACTGCATTATACGGATTACATTGTTAAACATAGCATTAATAATAATACTTCCTCCGTCCCATAAAGATGTTCCCATTTTGACTTTTAGGAAATTCAAGGAAGGGATATTTTTGTGTTGCCTTTCCAAAAATATCCTTGATGTGATGGGTAAAAGTATGATGTGATGGATAGATTATTAGTAAAAAGGTAAGATGTGAATCATGTGATATGTAGGTTAAGAATTAGTAGGGGTAAAAGTGGTTTTTTAATAGAAAAAGGGAAGTATTTTGGGATGGAGGGAGTGCTTTATTAACAATAGTTTTTTTATTTAAGGTAATGTAAGAATTAGCTTTCTAATTTCCCCATTTTTATTATTAAATGTGCAGCGAAGGACTTTCCAGGAGTTGTGATTGTAGAAGAGCCGCAGTGGAAAACGTGCATCAAGGGTTCTACTGCTGTTGTGAATTTGGCTGGAATGCCGATAACTACAAGATGGTCTCCAGAGGTATATGCTGTTGTTTTTTTAAGGATAACATTGCGCCAAAAATATTTCACCATTTAGTTATTCATGATTTGTCTGTGAAATATGATGTTTTTCTGTGAATTTAATGTGACTTTTTTAATATCTTACTGCAGATCAAGAAAGAAATTAAGGATAGTAGGATCAAGACTACATCAAAGGTTTGATTTTGAATTTGCTTATGGTACATTTGTAACTAGATAAATTTTAGTGGAAGAAAATAGGGAGGAAAGTGTAATAAAATTCGGATGAACCAAAAATATAGGGGAATATAAAACAATGGTTCAAAGTCTAAATTTCTTTTTGATATTTATAATTCATTGCCAATGGAGCTAAAAAAGTCGTAATTTAAATATTTAGCTTCGGGTAAATAATGGATGAAATCAATGTGTATGCAGATTTTACCCTTACTCGGAAGTAGAGAGGACATACATAATCTATATATAAGTTAACTTTGGAGTTGTCTTAGCTGGGGAGTCTCCATGTCTCTGTAGGTTGTAGATCTGATAAACAACTCACAAGATGGAGACTGTCCTAAGGTTTTGGTTAGTGCAACAGCAGTTGGTTATTATGGTATGCAACTCCACTTTCTCACTGAACTCTAAACTATTGGATTTTTCTAGTACATCTAGGGTTGGTTTATGCTTGGTTTAGTGCTTCATGTGGTAATGATCATTTGGCTGAAATGATTGAATCTGCTGAATTTTGTCAAACAAAGTGTTTGGTTACATCCATTTCAGTCAAAAGGTTACCTTTCTGCTTATTCTGTTTATCACTGGCTGAATAATGTACCACCAGCTAACAAATCAGCATTTAATGTTTTGGTTTTCTGATATTTTAGAGTTAAAATCATAGGTACCAGCGACACACAAGCTTTTGATGAGAAAAGTTCATCAGGAAATGATTACTTGGCTGAGGTAATTGATTCTAGAAAGTTGACAAGTAGGAGGAAACAATTTCCATCCTTAGTTAATATCGTGTTCTTTTTTTTAAAAAAATAATACAAACTATTTATCAGGTTTGTAGAGAATGGGAAGCGAGTGCCCGTAATGTCAATAAGGATGTAAGGTTGGTTCTCATCCGGATCGGTGTAGTCCTCGGAAAAGGCGGCGGCGCTCTAGGTGTGATTTCATGTATTTAAACTCTATTACAAATACTCCATGTTTTTTTTGGAATGCATGCTCAGGCATTTGCAAGTGTGGATTTAGTTAACATGTCCCTACACTATGTGGTCTCATCTATTCCCCTCCAACAAAACAAGGCCTTAGGGTAGATACCTCCTAAGAATCATACTGTTGTTTTAGTGCACACTATTGTAAATTGATAGCTGTTGGAAGAAAAGAGATAGATCCTTGTTGTTGATGATTGTTGAACTGTTCTTTTTAGTCGGGGTTCTCTTGGAAACAGACTCTCTACTTCCAAGTAGGGGTAATGTCTGCTGCGTAAATACACCCTCCTCGAACTTTACTTTCTATGGGATTTCACTGGGCTTGTTTGTTTCATTTCCCTGTTCTTTTGCTGGTTTGCAGCTAAAATGGTCCCGCTTTTCATGATGTTTGCTGGGGGGCCCCTGGGTTCTGGAAACCAGTGGTATGCATTATTTTGGAAACCACTTGATTCCATCCACTTTAAAGAATGAACTCCGACTCCCTGCGAGTCGCATCAGAGCCATCCAATTGACATCGGACGGTTATGATTCATCGTATATTATGCAGGTTTTCATGGATTCATATTGATGACCTGGTGAACCTCATATATGAAGCTCTAACCAATCAATCATACAAAGGTGGTTAAAACATTTGAAACTTCTTAGCAATAATAGAGTGAAGTTTCTTTTGGCTTCATATATTTATTATTCTGTATTTTCACTCATGCTGGTGTCAGACTTCAGAACCTTACCGAGGATTTGATGGTGTTTGTTTTTGTTCTATAACTCATCCGCGTTAATGATCCTGATAGGAGTCATCAATGGAACGGCACCAAATCCAGTAAGGCTGGGAGAGATGTGCAGCCATTTGGGATCTGTTTTAGGCCGGCCATCGTGGCTTCCCGTGCCAGATTTTGCTCTGAAAACCATTCTCGGCGAAGGGGCCACCGTGGTAAGCAACACCAACACTCCCTTTTTGCACCAGCTGAACTTGTTCTCCTCTGTGGCTTATGTCAACCCATTCGACCCAGTGACCCTTTTCTTGTGCTATGAACAATGGTGTCTGTAGGTTTTGGACGGGCAAAAGGTAATACCGGCGAGAGCCAAGGAGTTGGGCTTTGAGTTCAAGTACAAATGTGTCAAGGATGCTCTTGAAGCAATCATGTCATGAAGGGCAAAAATAGATGCTAACTGCAACTAGCTGGTGCCTATTCACATATCCATCATGCTTTAATTAGTCTTCAATCTTCACAGTAATGCAGTTGCCAACTTGAACTTCATTGGCCTTTTGAAAAGGTAAGCCTGAAAATGTTAGTTTTATGGGGAGTGCTTCTGTGTACAATATTGTTTGTGCTCAATGCATGTTTATAATAACTTCAATGTTTGGTACTACTTAAAAGTTCCATGCAATAATTTGATCAAACAGACTACTATATACCATTATTGAATTACTGTCAAGAAGACTGACAAAATGTGTATAAAATGAATGTATATGATCATCAAGCAAGCATGACAAAATGTGTGAACTGTAAACTGAGCTTTTATTTTTTATTAAAGGATAACAATGGAGAAAGGGAGGGGATGGGAGTACACAGAGCTCGAACAGAGAGCTTTTGATATCCCCAAAGGGGAAAAAAAGTAAAATGGTAACATCTCAACAAGTACTGTAATTTAATGGTAAAACATAGAATAGATTCAAAGTAAAGGGGGGAAAAAGGGGAAAAGCTGGAGATGCCACCATTGAAGAAGAAGAAGACCAACCAACCAACTCAGGCTACACAGTAAGACCAATGCTCATCCTCCCCACCACCACCGCCGCCGCCGCCTGAGGCCACCGAAGAAGCACCCACAGAAGCACTGCCGGCCTCATTCCCACAATGATACCCCCACGACGAGGAACCCACAATAAGGTAAGGCATATTGTTGAAAGACGCCGCCAGGCTACCGGCAAAGGTGGCGGTCCCGCCGTCTTCCTCTGCACCTCCTCCTTCATTTTGAACAAATTCCTCCGCGCGGTGCTTCAGAGTCTGGAACATGAGCTCCGGCTCATGACGCATCAGCCTGAGCACGTCCGCGGAGGACGGGCCCGGGGAAGCCTGCGTCACGGAGAAGCCGTGGGGCCCCTGGCTCTGCGACACCTGAACCACGCTCGGACCGCCGAACAGGTTGTGGTATCCTCCCAAGGCCTCCTCATAAGCGCCGCCCAAGAACATGCCAAGAAAGTACCGTCCCCCGCCGCCCAGTTCATGGAGGGGCAAGCTCGACTCGCCGCCAACAAACTTATCAATCTTCCCGTCACTGTCGCAAGTTAAGTCTGACAACACCCCTCTGGCTGAAGGGCGTTCGTCCAAGCGGTGGATTGGGACGATGGGGAAGAGCTGGCCGAATGCCCAGAAATCAGGGATCGAAGTGAAGACAGATAGATTGACATGATAAGTAGATACCGGGTCAAAAGCCCCAATCGCCTTGGTGACGAGGTCACATATCCCGTCCACGGCAGCCAGCTGTTCGATCGCCAGAGAACCGTCTTTGAACTGCTCGACGCACCTCTGTTTCAGCTGGTCGGCATAGATGAGGCACGTGTCATTCTCGCCGCGCATCGCGGCGGCAGATAGGTTCTGGTAATCTGACCTGGCGTCATCATTGAGCTTCTCGACGAAGGATTGAAGGCCGAGACTGTGGAGCGAGTTCTTGTGGCAAGAGCTGGAAGAGACGGCTTCGAAGACCAGAACAGAGTGGTGGGAAACAATTGCTCTCCCGCTCTCGCTGCAGAGGATAGGGTGGGCCACGCCCTTCCGGTCACAGACAACCCCCACTGCTCGAACGACGGCGGCGGCATATTCTTGAAGTGTGTACCCCACGGAGAGATCTGAATCTGTTGATTTTGAGCCGTCGTAGTCTATTCCCAGGCCGCCGCCGATATCTATGACTTTTAGGTTGGCTCCCAGGCGGGTCAGTTCACAGTAAATCTGGGCAGCTTCTCCTACTCCGTCAGCGAGCAGGGCGGTGGACGGGATCTGAGATCCGATGTGGAAGTGCAGCAGCTGGAGGCAATCGAGCATGTTGGATTCTTCAAGCTGCTTGATGACCCGCAGAATTTGGGTTGTGGTCAGCCCGAATTTCCCCTTCTCGCCGGAAGTGGCCCCAAAATGGCCGGAGTGCTTGGTCCTCAGCTTGGCCCGGACTCCAATAACGGGTCGGATCCCCATCCTGCGGCTGATTTGGGTCACCAGATCGAGCTCCTCTTCTTGTTCCAGGACAATCACGGTGTTCAATAGGAGCTTTCTTGCGGCCAATGCGAGGGAGATGTACTCTGCATCTTTGAATCCATTGCAGATCAGCAGAGCATCTGGGCTTCCCTTGCAGAGGCAGCTCATGGCCAGCAAGAGCTCTGGTTTTGACCCCGCTTCCAGCCCGAACCGGAAAGACGACCCGAATTTCACAATGTCTTCCACCACATACCTGTCCTGGTTGCATTTCACCGGGTAGACGCCTTGGTAGTGAGACTCGTACCCCTGAGACTCCACAGCGAAGCTGAAAGCTGTTTGCAGAGATTCAAGCCTGTTCTTCAGCACGTCCGGGAACCGGACAACGAGTGGGAGCTGCAATCCAAGCCCGCCAGATAGTTTTGGATCCGAAGCCTTTTTCACGACCTTGAGAAGGTCGATCTCCTGGTAGGACAGTGTGGCTGTGCCGTGTGGCCTGACAGAGATATCACCGGAGGAGTTCACCGTGAAATAGGGGTCTCCCCAAGCGTCAATCCTGTAAAGGGCAGATGATAGGGCGGGAGTCCAGCGGGGGAGGTCGACTGAGGCTGCTGTGTTCATCGGCAGCGGCAGAAGTGCGTCAGGGGAGACGAGAGTCTCAGGTGCCGGAAGAGATCTGTCCCAGGCAAAAGCATATCCCGGAGGAGGAGCTACGGCGGCAGCATCAACACAACACGCTATGGCCGGCATCTCTTCCCCTGTTAAATTCTTTACGCTTTTGAAGAACAAAAAAAAGAATCAAAGAATCAGGAACCAACAAAAAAGGGTTCCCTGGTTTTTACAGTTTGACGGAAAAAACAAACGTATTTTTCTCCGATTTCGTAAAGCTGGGGGCTTTTCGAACCCGCCGAGGCCGGAGCCCCGGCTACCCCCTCAAAAGAAGCAAAAAAACGCCGGAATCAAAAGACAACCCGTCGCACACTCGGAACGATCCGACCCGGAAATCCCCACGCCGGCCGGTCAGAAGAATCAGTTTTGCCGGCAACGAATGGAAACGATTTGTGCAGACGACAACAGAGATGGACACAAATCTAAGAGTCAGATGAAGATCCCACCATGCAGATCTGATCTGAGTGAGGAGAGGGGAAGGCGGGAGTGGGTGACGGAAACCTAACGGCTAAAACACGCCGGGGCCGAGCAGTGTTATATTAGACGACGCAATGAATTGGAATGAATTGTATGAACTGGGCGAAGCGCGTTTATATAGTTAGGGGGGAATATGGGCCGTGGGGCCGGGTTTTGGGCCGCATCTTTTGAAGCTGATTTTTGTTGAATTTCCCCGTTATTAGCGGAAAGCGACAGGGCCTTTATTTAGGCCGTTTAGGGTAACCTTTTTGTTGTTTGCTTTCTTTACGTCACTGTTTTTTTTTTTCTTCTCATTTTTTCTCCTTTTTTTCATTTCATTGATTTTTTATTTTATTTACTATCTAAAAATTATGGTAATCTTTGTTTGCAATTTTTCATTTCTTATCCTTTTTATTTTATAGAATTCTTTATGTATTTTAAAATATATATTAGTTTATTTTTATTCCTATATTAATCTTTAAATAAACTGAACTCAAAGAATTTAGAATTTAAGGCCAGAGGAGTATTTAGATATATTTATGTGGTTCTTAATTTTCGTATTTTATATTAATTTTTAACATGAATATCAATTACACAAACTTAATTATTTTAAACTTTTTGTGGCATTTTCTTATGTACAAAAAAAATAGTGAAACGACAAGAATATTTGGTTTTCTTTTTTAAATTTCGTGTTCTTTTTGGGAAGAAAGAACATGGGAAATGACCAAAAAGAGTCAGGCCTTTGGGGTAGGGGTACCCGTCAAATAACGGAAAACGTTATTTTACTTAATGACGTCGTTGCCTTAAATTAATGAATCGTTACAATTGTTTCCCGATTAATTATGTAAGTTAACACACGTGTATCACTCACCCCCATTTTGATAGGGTTATACCACTTATACTCCATACGTTCATAAATTGATTATATTTTTAATTGATTATTTGATTAAATAAAATATTTTTGTCACTTTTTATTTGTAAAATTTTTTATATTATTTTTTAATATATAATTTTTATTTTTTATTGATATATCAATTTCTAAATAAAACAACTTTAAAAAATAAGATTATTTACCTTATGAATACTAATTTGTACTCCCTCCGTCACCCAGTTTTTGTCCAGTTTTGACTTTTGGAATTGTTCATCTAAGCACTTTGACTCATTAATTTCTCTCAATGTGTAAGCCTAAATATAGTCATGTGTGATCTTGTTTGATTTGTCTTAACATATAGATTATTAATATATAATTTCTATAATTTTTTAATATATAAATTACAAGATAAAATGGATTAAAGAAGTGCATTGGATGGTGTGTAAAAATGAAAGTGGACAAATACTCTAGGACGGAAAGAGTAATATAAACAGGGACAAAGAAATCATAACTAGTGAACAATGTAACTCGACTACACTCTGGTGATTGAAGGGTATTTTAGGAGGGGGTTGGAGTTTAAGAAGGGATTATAGGGGTAGAAACTATTACTTTTACTTTCTAAGCTCAAAAAAATCGAGGTGTTTATAATTTTCACTATGAATGAGATAAGAATTAGAATGATTTTCTATGCAACTCATTTTTGTCATACTTCATTCGTCCCTGAGTATTTATTCACTTTTGACCCTTTTTTGTCAAAATTGGTAAATTTTAACCTTAAATAAAATAAAAATAATATTATATATTGATACAAAAATAATTTTATTAGATTTATAATATGAAATATTTTCAAAATATTATTTTATATAATTAAAGCATAACATCTATTTTATTTAATTATAAGTCAAGGGATGAAAATAGTTGACTAAAAAAGTTAAAAGTAGACAAATATTCAAAACAAAGCTAATATGAATCATCATCCCAAAAGGAATGTTGTCTTTGGGGCATCAACAACTAGTGATAAGAAGATGGTTCATAATATGCCATTTTGGCGGAATATTGCCGGCGTCGTGTTGGGCCAAAGATTTGATACGGAGTAGGTATAGTTATGCTAAAGTAAGCCGCGCTTAAGCACTTTTAACCCTTAATTTGGTGTTTTTTAAAATGTTGGGGGTGCATTCCACCTCCTTCACGGAAAAATAAGAAAAACAAACTAATAATCCCTATTTAATAGTTCAATCCAACTCATTAATACCAGATCTTTTAAAAAAATATCTAAAAATAAATCGGGGGATACCCATGATCATAACATGTAGTATCGAAGTGCTTGTGTTTAACAGGAAAGTGCGGAAGACTGTGTGGTGCACAATTCCCGGCGTGACAGTGTGCCAACAAGAACCGGAGATCTACAAATGATACTTTATATCTACAAAAGTCTTCTTAACAAATAAAGGTAAGGTCGTTTGCCTCATTGGGCGTTAATGGCGCTACCAAATGATCTGGCAGATCAAATGATGCGACCTAGCGGATTGGTGGTCTGCGGTCGATGTCTTGTGTCAATTTGTTTCCGAAAAGAGGAGGTCGGGTGGTGTGTAGCACGATCGAGGATGTAGCAACAATACCAAATGGCGGACAGATCAAACAAATAATCGATGAAGAGGTGGTCACGAGTTGTGCGGTACTGGGTTCAATAGAAAATTTGTTAGGGTGCAACCACCTCCCACACCGGATGAGTAAGAAGAAATGAACCAATATTTAATAGTATAACTCAATCCATTACTTTTAGACCTTTTTAGAGATACTTAAAAATAAAATTGTAAATTCTTAGCCGAGAACATATAGTATCATACTAATGTGGTACTAGGGCGATGGTACGCACAATCTAACATCTAAGAAAAGGAATTTTCTAAGTTAATTAAATTGTACTTACTAGAGAGTAAAAAACTAAAAATACAATAGATTTTGCAACAATATGAAATAAAGACACGAACATCCTACTATAATATACAGTATTACATTATCATAATGCAAAAATACTATTATATGGATAAAAATAAATCACTTTTATTTTTGGTGATTTATTAAATAACAAGAAATATGATTTGACAAAATTCAAAAGCATATGAGATAAAAATTTAAGGATTTGAAGCATAGTTTTTTAAATCGGATCGATTACCGAATCGGTCGAGCTACTGGTTCACTAGTCAGACCGGTAGTTTAAACATACTGAAAAATTATAGCTATAACATTATATTTTTTTAGGTTTTTAAAAAATGAAAAGAAATCTTTATACACTTTTTATTTATTTAATTATGAAATATTTACAAACTTTAAGCAAAAATGTAACAAAAAATACTTTGGCTTGGACGGTTAATAACTTAATGAACTATGTAAAAGGTTAAGTGTTTGAACCCTCATGGCGTATATTTTTGAGAAAAAATCACAAAAAAGAGTTCTGATCGGTCCGACCGATCAGTTCTTACCGGCTCACAGCAGTTTGGACCGGTTCAATATTGATTGCGGTCTAAAGGACTGGATCAGGCCGAGTTGCTCGTCGGTTCACGGTCTGATCCAGTCCGATTTTTAAAGCTATGATTTGAAGGAGGTGTAGGTTACCATTATTACAAAAAAATGGGTTTAATTTTCTAAAGACTATGACCATAAAAATACTTTTAGAAAATATAGAATGGCATCATCCCCTTTATGCATGTTTTTTCAAGGGCAGCTCTTTTTAGTTTTTGACATATTGTGTCTCTTTCCAAGAAATATCCTATTTTAAACGATGTGCAAAATCTCGTAGTATTTGAAAATGAAATAGTACAATTTACATATTTAAAAATAAAATAAAAAATTCTACAAAACAAGTTAAGTTATGATTATTTTATTTATCAAATGATAGATCAAAATACATACACAAACAAAAACTATCGAAAAACTAAAATAATAAAAATTATAATTATTTTGAGACGAGTGAAGTATTATGAGTATTATGAATAGGGCAATGAAGAAGTGAAAGTCCGTGTAAACAAAAGTTCCTACTTCACATGTCACACATCTTTTGCCATTGAAGTTGATGGTGTAAATTACCACGCAAATGCTAAGTATAAGTAATCGGGAGGGTTGTAGGTGGAAACACCTGTAACCCGGCTTGTTATTAATGAAAGTAGGAACTTATTACAATCAGTACAGGCCGTGTGGATTAATTAAAGCATACCTCACAAATGAGGGTTTTAGGGTATTTATAACAAAACTAAGCACGTCAAGCACGTTTCTGGTTATCAAACCGGTCATTCGTCTGACCGGCTGCATAAGAGTACTACCCAACCGGCTTCACGACCCGGTCTGAGAAGGATGCGCTCTGTCACTTCCGTCACCACCCAGTCGGACGAACCAACCGGGTGGTATCCATGGGTTATTACCCATCAGAAGTAAAGTTGTGATTTTTTTTCGTTCGTGTAGGCATGTAAGTATGTAACGTGATAATCTTTAAACGGAGTCGAGATTTGATATTTTCATACTCGTTTTGTCCCATAAGAGGTTTTACAATTCTTTTAACATATGATCTATAAAAATTTTTACTTTACACTAGAAATAATTTTGGTGTCATTAAAATTTATTTCTGCTCAGCATCACTTTTAATCTCAAAATTTCATTATTCATAATATTCATGTCAAGTTAAAAGTAAAATCTTTTTTAGGGACAGATGGAGCATATCAAATTCCTCTCAAATAGGGGAGTTTTCATACTATGTATATTTTTTCACTATCACTTACCTCATGTTGACGGTCACTCCTACCTATCCCCAGACCCTAACAACATACTCCGTATATTTCAGATCTTTTCAAATAATTTTATTTTAAATTTCAGAATACATGTAATCTTTTACACCATAAATGTTAAACTCATGCTAGACCGTCTTCCATTCCATGCGTGAGGCATTATCACTCCCTTTCTTTTCAATTTTTTTAAAATTTTTTTGAAGGGTAAGAATCATTTTTTATTAAAGAAATTGACAAATAAAATAGATATGTAAAATAATTTTTAATAATTAAAATATGTAAAAATGAATAAAAAATAACAAAAAAAAATGGTTTGACACTACATGCATGCTACTTCATTCACTTGCTACACGTTGACTGAACATTTTGTGACTAGTTGAAAATTTTAATATCATCCTGTAACATTTCTTTTTTATCTCATTATTGTTGAAGCTCTAACGAAGCAAGAAGGAATATTC